GACCTAGGAGGAGTTGGGAATAGAATATGATAGTTAGTAAAACAATGTGCTGGAAAACCTGATCCGGAAGAGCGAATTCTAGAAGGCGCAGTGTGATTTCAGTCATATGGTGTTCCCAGGCTGTACACATGGAAGCTCTATCCACAGCTGCGCCTGGAGGATTTTCACTAAAGATCAGCAATCTGGTCAGTGCTATTCTGTATTGAAAGAATCTATGCCTTGATCTCCTCAAGTTGTTGATATCTGCATTGGCAGTACCCTTAGACCAGCAGGGACAGGCCAACTTGTGTGTGATGAACTTGACAGGGCTTGTTGAAGCACCTCTGGCCCTCTGTGTTTCAGTGCTCCAGAGCAGGTATTGGGTAGCGTTTTCCAGGAGTAATGGAAATTGGGGGGACCAGAGAGTAATAATGAGTGAGACAGGGGAGATGACGGGGGATTGTTTTTTTTTTAAACAAAACAAAAACGGTGAACCAACCGTTCTCTCCGGACGCATCATCACAGAGGTTATAGCCTTGATTTTAATGCACCCCTGAGGTAGAGAGGCTTACTCTTTATTAACATTCATATCCATTATCATTGCACTGATGTGCCAACAACCATAAATATATATACTCTTATTGTTGAAGTATAAAGGTTTAATTAAAGCTTGCTCATTTAAATCCATTCATGTTCTGTAGCCACTTGTCCTTTTCAGATTTGGTGAGGGGGGTGGGCAGAGCCTATCCTGGAAGGCAAGGAGCAACTTAGGATGGGGGACCAACCCATCACAGGGCACACTAACACACACCTATAGTCAACTAGATAACTCCAATTAGCCTCAGTATGTTTTTGGACTGTGGGGCAGGGGGACCAGAACACCCAGAAGAATCCCCACAATGACAAGGGAAGAACATGCAAACACACATGGAACCCAAGCAGAGACTTGAACCCAGGTCCCAGTGTTGTGAGACAACAGTGCTAACCACAGCACCACCATGCCACTTCAGCCTGGGTGTGAAAGATCCCTCCAGCAGACTAAACCGAAGGGCCAAAGCAAACGTGGCTGATGGCTGCTAACTGCAAGAGCCTTCAATATTTGTTCTGAGAAAAGATACCATTGTCTAGTGTATTACTAAATGCATTCAGTACTACTATCTTTGTTTGCACTTTAGGCCCCATTGAAGTTCCAGTTAGAGCTAAGTACTTTAAAAAACAGTATTTTCAAAACGTAAGTAATGCCTGGAGTTCAATGGATCCCTAAAAACCACAGTTTCATTTTGAGATGTGGCATTCTGTAATAAGAGATCTTGCATGTGTTTAGATGTCCATCTGCCTGAATTCACACTCGTCTTGCTGTGAAAGGTGAGGATAGAGCGAAGGTGAGGGCTCACATGAGTCTGGGTTACAATCTCAGTGTAAAACAATGACCGTGGGCAGCCATGAAAATGAGACTGGGGATGACACAGAGGCAGGCGAGCAGGTAAAATAAGGCAATATGAAGGATAGCCAGAGATAGAGAATGGGAAAGTGAAGTACAGAAAGGTGAGGGAGGAGTAAGAAGGCACATCCTCTCAGATAATTCCCGAATCAAATTAGGCACATTAGCAGAGACGCAGTTAAGGTCTAATGTGATCCATTAGGGCTGATCTGATTTTGAGAAAGACAGCCTTTCTGCTCCAACAATCAAACAGTCTTCCTTCGAACACCCAGTGCCTCCACACAGCTATCCACCCCTACTGAACACTTTTCAGCAATTGGCCATCCTTGAATCATGCTTTTGTAAGAGCCGCTGCTCTTTTATACTGGCTGGAAGACTGGAAACTAGCTCTGTCACAAGACATACCAACAAGATGGTGATCCTTCTAGGCAACTGAAATTTGAGTAATTTGTTGCCAAATGACAAAACATACTGGTGAAAACTGGGACAAAATAGACTGTTCACTAACAATGACTACACATTAAATTACTCATACACTAATAACCCAACTACAAAGAGGCCCTTTTAAATGTAAGGCTTCATTCTCTTGGTTATGTATACACAGCAGTGAAGTGGATAACTATGCAGTTAAAAAGCACTTTATGGCTCAGAAAAAGGTGCGGACACCTTCACTCAGTTATAAACAACAACATGATGCAGGAATTATTGTACTTAGCAGATTAAGATGATTTGCCCCCACATAGTTGTTCTACTGACAGGGGGTTATGACAAATTAGGTGTGATTGTTTTAATAGGAAAGGTAGTACTGCACAAAAACAAAGTCAGCATTCTCAGGAAAGTTTGTCGTAGTTCATCAATCATGACTATGCATTGTTTCTCCAGTTATTGTTACACAGCTTTTTAGCCAGGAGCTTAAAAAATGAAATTGAACATTAACTTTTACAAAATTATCTATATATTTCCATAATTTATTAACTCAACGCTTTTGTGGCAAAAGCAGGTATGGAAAGTGAAAGAATGAATAGAAGAATTAACTGTAATATGGACAGAAGAATCTTTCAAAACATGCATATTTGATTTTTTTTCTCAAGGCTACGTTTGTGATGACAGAAAGCATAAAGAATTAAAACACAGGCAAATATCATCTTATTTATGGAAACAGGCACCTAGCAACACCATTATTTGCTCTTGAAATTCCCAAGTTCAATTCATTACCATAGGAAGAGGCTATTCAATTGAATAATCAAAAAGACAGCAGCCAAATTTTGTGTCTCAGAAAGAAAGCATAAATTTAGTTTTTTTTAATCTAGGTGGACCAATTTAATATTTTTCAGGGGCAGAGAGACCAGCAAGGGACTGGCATTAATGAGATGCATGTTTTGAGCTTACAAGCAGGACTAGAGGAGTCTAGACCATAACCATCTAATAGGCAAGACAGCATAGACAGCAAGCAGCACAGAGGCTAAACTTAGGCCCAAAATTAGGCAGGAAAACTGAAATGCAACATTTTCAAAAACATACAGTAAGGTAAGTCATTAAGTTTTTCAAACAGTCATCTGCTGGACTAATATAAATATATATGTAAAATATGTGTGTACGGCAGAGAGACCATCCCACAGTGAGACGACTCAGTGAGGGCCGATGACAAGCCCTATCTTCCAAGTATTCATTTCTTTAGCAGAATGTGCCCAATCCATTACCTCATTTGGAGAATCATATTAGATGAAAATATTTTGGAAATGTAATCACTGTTACAGCAAGTCTTGAGGTACCTTCTGTATTTTCTATTTTCAGTAACTGATAGACACACACTAGAGTTTCAGCTCTGGCAAACATATTCTTAGCACCTGAAATATTAATAGTACAAAAAGACAAAGTATGTCAGGAATATATATATACAAATACAAACACATTATATATATAATTCACAGTCTTCTCCCGGTCGACCATCTCAGTTGTCCTGAGGCCGAGGGGACCCAGATCGGAGGGCTTGCACATCATGGGCAACATTTTGCCTAGGAAATCATGTAGGGTGGGCCTGGTCTTTGAACTAGTTTTAAATGAGACGTTTCTGCAGAATGTATACCAGACCACAGGCATCAAAAGGTTGGGAACACCCATCCTGTACAACCAAACTGTTACAATAGCATCACCCATATCGGTGACTGGATAAAAATCCAAACTGGACCATCATGATTTTTTGACGAAGGTAGCGTATGGCTGGTTAATTATCTGTCTAATAACATCACATGCAATAATAATGTTAACAGTAAATGTAGTGTCAAATGGCACATGATGGTCACAGTGCCATCTACTGACAGATAGGTGAAATTGTATCCCTGGAGATTTTCTCATCTCTGTCTAACATAAGTTTCTGCATCTCCACTCCTCCTAAATAATAAACTTCTGGGCATTCTTCCTTTGTCATACAGTCATAAGGGATCATAACTCCCCCAATACCACAAACCCTGTGATTACAATCCTGATACTCATACCAATTCAGTCAGTCTCTGTTGTGTATGGATACATTGTACATTGTGCGGGTGTTGCTATTATTAAAGTGAAGCTCCTTACGTATGTCAGCTAAGCGATTTTTCACTCATATCATCAGGTGAAGGATTAAATGAACATTTACCAGTTTCAAAAAATGCCTTGTATGTGTAGTTTCATTATTGGGAATATAAATACAGTAGCCTAATGCAAAATATGTCCCCCAATCCCATTGTCTTTATACTGCCTTCCTAGTATTTCACAACATGCACTCCTGAAACAAGTCACAGACTCTGTGCACTTCAAATGGTTCATCTTATCACTTGCAGCACTTACTGTAGGTGATTTTATGAGAACGTTCCATGTTACGTATTTTTACTGATGCGCGACATATGACGCTTGCCGATGCCTGCCACCTGGTATTTGAACTAAGTAATCCAAAGAATTATGTATGCAAGGGAGGCTTTTGACGCTGAGGATTGGGACATCACTTCTCCATTATTAGCAGTTATCCTCAGAAGTATATGGCTGAGCTCATACAAGTCTATGAAGTCAGAACTCCAATACGCCAGAGAAGCAGGACACATTTCCTGTCAGTGGAAATTTGTGGGGTGGGTAAAAACAAACGTACAAAACTAATTTTCATTCATTAATTCATTCATTAATGCAGAGCTGACATCTTTGAAATAAAACATACTATAAATTGTAAACGCCATTATTTCTTGGTAGACCTGTGCAGCAAACACATTTTCAAACATACTTAAACCACCCATTTTCTCTGAATTGTTCTAAATTTTAAAATCCTTACGTTTCTCAAGTTCATATAGAAAACATCTTTCATGTCTATGGGTGAGCAACAGAGACTATAACCGAAATGTCTTCAGAAAAAGCAATAAAAGCCAAAATTAAATAAACAGGGAGCAATGTGGAGCAATCAGAAATGGATGAAATGAAACATGGACCAGAGTTAATATGATAGAAGTTATTCTTTATATTCATTACAAGCTGAAGATTAGAAATGTGCCTTGGTGAAGAAGATAATACATTGTAATATCAATAAAACGAATCTGTTGTACCATTTGCATTGCAGAGCCGAATGGCCGAAAGCCTACGTCTGTTTGACTCCATCTGCAACAACAACTGGTTCATCAACACTTCGCTCATCCTGTTCCTCAACAAGAAGGATCTGCTGGCTGAGAAGATCAAACGTATCCCACTCACCCTCTGCTTTCCAGAGTACAAGGGCCAGAACACATATGAGGAGGCCGCAGTTTACATCCAGCGTCAGTTCGAGGACCTCAACCGCAACAAGGAGACAAAGGAAATTTACTCCCACTTTACCTGTGCCACGGACACCAGCAACATTCAGTTTGTCTTTGATGCTGTAACAGACGTCATAATACAGAACAATCTCAAGTACATCGGGCTGTGCTAGGGCGAGGTTTGGGGGGGCATGCAGGCAGTGTGGCTGTGTGGGACAGCCACCAGGGTGCTGCCACGTTACAGAGAGGTGACGGAGCTCCTAGAATTTACTAAAGCATTCAATGGGCAAGGCACAGAAAGAAAGCTCGTGAGAATGATATCTCCCAGAAAGCATTGCACTGAATACATCATTTTCCTGACCCATATATACATAATCAAAAGAAGAATATTGATGTTTAAACAATGGCAATCATTTGTTAACAGATAATACAGTATGTGTGTGTCTATGCCCTCCTCCCCCTCTATCCTGTGTCTTTGTTGCTGTCGTTTACCTGTTAAGGCTATCACCTCTGCCCAATTCATTCAATGTTGCTTTTGTGTTCCTTTTCAAACCATAAAAGGTCAACGAGGCAGGTCTACTTCCCAGGACCGAAGCCTGAAGATGACTTACTCAAAACCAGCCAGGGTTTATTTCACGAGGAGATTGAATTGACAGAATATCTGGGGATGAGAAGCTCACCTGGATGAGCCTTACAATATTCCAAACCCAATTCCGTGTCAAAGATTGTTATACACAAAAGAAAAATCGGGAATACCTGGTTCATTAAAAGAAGAACAGTGCCAAAAAAAGAAGAAAAAAAAACAATTTGATGAAAATTTTAATATTTGATTTTTCTATTGACTGATCCTGCATGACATCTAGGTCTGTATGTTTGTTTCAGAATTAATAAAATATGCCCCCGACGAACATCACAGCTACATCAAAGCCAAACATTGCATTCGCTGCCTGAAAGTGTTTTTAAATTATGTCAGGATCAAAAATATTTCCTTCAATTCAAACAGTGCAAGTGAATCGTCAAGCTGAGGACAGAGACAGCTGATAGATCTGTCATTCCGAAATGAGCATAGAGATGATGCACAAAAGGGGGATGTGGGTTAAAATAGACACCACAAAAATCAACGCAGAATGGAAAAGAAAACAGCCGTTTCTTTCCCCCCCTTGCATCATGAAGTGAATAATAGATGTGACATGTACATAAAATATGACTAAAGCACAGTCATTAATAAAACAGCAGACAGACTGATTAAAAAGAGAGACCTGTACTTCTCTCCTGCTGTTCAAAAAAGCATGATGTGCAACAACTCAGTTAAGGGCTTGAAGCTTTATTTTACAAGATAGCCACTTAAAAATATATGTATTTAAAATATATGAAAATACTATTAACGAACCAAATGCTGCAGACATCGTTTTTGCCAGAGATGTTCTTTCGTGAAGTGGTGTTTGAGGGGTACAGGTAACATAAAATATGAGATCATTGTGTTTTATGTTTTTATTTTTTTTGTATGTGCGTGTATATATATTTTTTTTATTAACATGGGCCACAAAGATTGTTCAAAGGTATAATAACAGGCATTGACATATATACCTTTAGCAAGTTAACAGCGTGTCACTGCTCATTCCTCAAATGTAAAACACAGTTGTTAACTGTTCATAAACCAGAGTTATATATCATATCCAGCCACCCATATAATGATTGGATTGGTGTTTTCTATATACACACTGTTATGCAAGCGCAAATACACAGAAAAACATTTTTCTTTCCACAATATTCTTATAGTGCTCTTACAAATCTTTTCTGGCCTCTACTTTTTTTTACCAGTGGGTACTTTGTAATGAATATGTATCCTAACTGATTTGATGATCATTAAGACAGTCTTCAAAACCATCTAAGATGTCATTACCAACAGCTAATGCAACCTTGGAATAATTAACAGCCATATGCAGGTGACTGCATTTTCCAAGCTGACTGTTGGATTACGTGGGTTTTGCTGCTCTTTTGTTTTCTTCTTCTTCCTGACTCGGGCTTTGTTTTTGCAGGTTGACCCCTTAATGTCTGCAATCATTACTGCTTCATTGGAAGTTATTGAGAATATGACCAAAATGCCAAAACACTGTATTATACATATTCAGGGGCACAAATAAAGAGAGAGATAAAAACCTTTATGTTCATCATTAATTAAAATGGCACATATGGTCAATCAGTCGGGAAAATGCCTGGCCAGTGGAGGGTGCTCACACAGACCCTTACACAGAAAGGAAAAGCTTTGTTTGTCAATGGCAAACAAGGAAGTCCAGATAAACACTGGGAAAATGCAAAGCTTGCGCACAGAGAGCTTGGGAACATGTATCATATACATCCATGGACATGCAAGGGTAATACCTGCTAAAGTCCTTAACATCCATGCTTAGCACACATAGGTGATCCAGGGAACAGTCATAAGTACTACAATCACATGATTATGCCACCATAACTTCATGCACATAGTTTTATATTAATTTTATTAGGACGGCCTTCCAGTTCCATACTGAAAAGTTAAACACTACTAGGTTAGAAATGTAATGTACTTAAAGGACCCCCTAACACCACAATAGAAAAAGCAGGTGCTTAGAGAAACAATAACTGTTTGTGTACTTCTGCAGTGGACGTGCCACTTTATACACCATCCCAACTGCCTCATTGGCAGTTTCTCACCCAACAGACAAGTATCTTCCCCCCACACAGCCTGCTAGCTAGCACTGAGACAGCATGCCATCTGAATGTGATTAACCATACATTCAATTCAGGTAAATGAAAAGTTCATGTTGCACCAAATTAGGAGTCTGCTGTTTTAATACATTTACTCACTGGGGGCTTTGGGTGGGGGTGCTGTAAAGCGCTTTGAGACGACGTAATGTTGTGATAATGCGCTATACAAAAATAAATTTGTTGTTGTTGTTAATACCTCTATGTAGCTAATAGAACTTGATCATTTTCTTTCACTGTTATTTGAAGCCCTACACAAGGCAATGAAGCATACGCATACACCCACCCATCTCCCATGTTTATACAATACAGAGTTGTGGGGAAGGCTGGATCCTATCCTAGGTAGCACTGATCACAAAGCAGGGGGGCGTCCTGGATAGGATGCCGGTCTACTACAGGACACACAACCACAGTCATAAACACCATTACAAATCTACAAATAGAAGAACAAAGGGCCTATGGAAGAAATTCTCTGGACATCAGGGGAAAGGGAAACTTTTAGAGATGTACCTGTTTGAATATATTGTACTTGGACTTTAATACTAAATATTTATTACAGCATACTAGAAATAAATTGACAGGTCTTTAATATTTTCATGGTGGCAGTATATTTCACATACACAACCACTGAATCAATATGTAAACAGCACCAGTATATTATTGATGATGCCTGTTGCACAGTTGCATTGAAGCAGGCCCACTAAACTGCTAGCTGATTACTGATGAGATCACTGGCCAGCTGCTTTACAGAAGCTGCATACATACATACTGCTCTTTCTTAGTCATTCTGTGATAAGAAGTATTTGCAGAAAATGTTTTAAGAGATAAAAATCACACTTCCATAAATCATCATCATGGTACTTCCTGTTCAATATATTTGATTTTCTTATCAATTATAATACTCTTTTACATTCAACTCATTATCCATGGAAATATGAGGATTAAAAATGTTAAAGGCCACAGAAACCCTCTTGTATTAGTAAACAAACCAAATTAAGAATAGAGCTGTGTTGTAGAATGTTATAGTGCTGAACGTATTTATGGGCAGACAAGGATGAGTGAGTTGCAAAAAAATCAGAATGTAGAGACTCCACTTTCTATAAACACTCAAAACCAAATCAGAAAAGAAGATATGAACTTTTTGAATGCCGATGAAGATACATGATTATGAACAAAATGAACAGGTGGAATTTTCTTTTAAAGATTCAAGGTTGTAGCGCATAACAAATATAACACTGACTTTTCCTTCATGTAAAAATGTAGCTAATTCAATACATTGCCTTTAATGTCAAACAGTGTCATGTCTGGAAAATGAAATGCGATTCCTGGGTCACACCTCTCAAAAACTTTAAAAGCATTATGATCAAAGTTATTATTAACCCAGTACTACACACCCGTTCCAGTCCAGATTATTCTAGCTCCTTAATATTATGGTTCAACATAGAAATCATAACCATAACTAATGTATTAAATGATCCGTTTATAACATAAAATGTAAACTTTAAAGGTTTATATGGAGTGCAAAATTAGCCTTAGTTAGCCCCTGGAATTTTTCCCCAAAGATGTAAAATGTGATAAACTCACTTACTTTGCATTGCTTGGCGTCGCTAGATATGTATTGTTAGCGTCATCCTTAGCTTGCTTTGCCTTATCACATGCAGATACTGGAACCAAATATTTATCTTTTCATTTTTGTTATAAAAGAAGCAAGTGATGAGGGCTTTGCAATGGTGTCATTTAGAATTACTCCTATACTACTTCAAAATATGATAGCAAAGGTAATCACCACAATCCTTAGGAGTTAGTCCTACCTGCAGGAAACTGTGCTACCACCTGCAGGGCCCGGTGCACATTCCTCCGACAGGCTGGTACCGGGTCATCCAGCAGGTCAGACAGTGACACAACTACGTGATGCTCCAGAAAGGCCAGCCTGGACATACAGTTAGAGTTACATTAACCAGCACTATCTTCCCCAAACTACAAACACACACACACCAGGGTTGCCAACTTTGGTCAGTTGACTGGCGTGAGATATTCAATTTGAAACAAGTCTTTTATTACCTTCAAAATAGTCTGTAGGGTTTGCAGACTACCCCAATGCTCTTGACATAGTTCATTTTAGGTTTATAATGCAATAATAAAGATGTAGAGTAAGATGTCTTGCATGACCATGAGAGTCGTGCCAGATGCGTGAGAGTTGGCAAACCCTGACATACATCAAACCAAAGTGGTAAACAATACTTCCTTACCTGCTGACAAGATGGTTAGCCAGCAGATGGAGAATCTCTGTGGTTTTCACCCTCACTGTTGTGTCCTTATCCTGTAGCAATGCCTTCAGCTTTCCTAGGCATCCTGAAATAATATCATAAAGATGAAGTAGGTTTCCTACTATTTAAGTAAATTAAGACATTAAATAATTCATACTGGGAGTGTCACCAGTGATTTATGGGGGAGGGCTAAGCCTTCATTAGGTGGGTGTGATGGAAATGGCCCACATTATTTAAACTAATTAGTGTACGTTTATTTGGGGGAGGCTAAAAACATTTTTGGGGGCTAAAACCCCCCTCCCAAAAAAATAAAATGTAATACGGTCAACGACGCCCCTGATTCATATTAATCTAAATGATGACTACCAGTACACTACTAAAACGTCATGCAATATTCAGCCGATGTACAGATCTCTACAGTTTACTTCATTCTATAAGCAGGGCTGGACTGGGAATTAAAAACTGGTCGCGAGCTTACAAGTGCCGTGCGGTAAATTCTTCCGGACGCCCGGTTATATAGGGTTGATGGCCAGTCCAACCCTTTCTATAAGTACTTTACTTCTTAATGATATCTACATTGCGTATTAATTCAAATAGTTTGAACACAAAAAGTGCAAAAAATAAGTTCAGCTTTAAACCCAGTTCAAGAAAAGATGAAGGGAGCCAGCTGGTGCCTCACCTGCTTCAGTGACTTCATATGCTCTCTCCGGGTCGTGCACGAGGTCGCAGAGAACAGCGAGCGCCCGCTGGCGGGTGAGCAGCCGCGTGTCCTGCAGTTGTAGCGCGAGACGCGGGAGCGCGCGATTACCGAAAGCCACCGGCGCCTTGCTCGGGTCCATGTCTGAGGGCGGCATGGCTGAAATGCGCGTACTGGACATTCTTACTCACAAATGCCACACAGTCGTCTGTCTCTGGGTAATTTATTAATCTCCGCAGCCAACCTTTCCTTAACGGGTTAAGTCACATACGCTGGAACAATATCTGACTCGGGTCCTTCATTAATACAGTTCGTGAGTTTAATCTTTTCTCTTCTATGTCGGAAGCAAACCTCCGTAGCCCTGGAAAGCGTAACAATAGCATACGTGATCTGTCAGAAGTAAAATTATTTTTCAGTTAACACTTAAGTGTTTTCCCGGTTGCTTGCTCTTCCACCTCTTGTTAGTAGTCAACTATACTGGCCGATAAAGTCCAATATTCGTTGTAGTTACTCGTTATCATTATGCGGTCGCTAAGCAACAACACGCGACTGTGAGTCGTCAGTGTCACGGTGAGAACGGCGTATAGTGCTCAAAAAGTCTTTGGACGCTTTCTTAATTAAAAATATATTGCTAATTTATTGGTATTATAACCAAAATTATAACACACACACACATATATATGTATGTATGTATGTATATCCCACATTAGAAACAACTAGTAGTTTTAAGTATAGAAAAACTAAAATATAGTTCTAAAAGAGTTAAAAAGTTCATTGCCGAGCAGTCTCATTGCGTGTTTTTAAATCAGTAACACAGTATGTGCAGATATGTTAAACATTGTTTATCAATGAACTTTTGTTATGAAACCAATACATTTTCATAATTTTTATAGTTAAGAAAGAGCTCCAATACATTCTGTGAGCACTGTATTTAAAATACTTTTTCAAATTTGTGCAACAATTATCAGATTAAAGGCTCAGTATAATCAGACAATCTGTTTATATTTTGACCATTATACGGAGTAAAAATGTAATTTAAAATAATTAATATTACAGCATTTATTTATATTCCATAATTTTTTAACAAATTATTTCGTTAAATACAGTGCTAAGCTGGTTAATATAAAACAAATTTTGTTGGGCGAAATACACTTTTAGCAATTCTCAATTTTCCCTGTCTGAATACTTTTTGAGAAACACACATTCAGTTTAAAATGAGTTCTAGATTATAGTAAGCTTTCATTTCATCATGCATGCAATACATTTAACATAAACCTCAATAAGTGCTATATCATAACTGGCTTGAAAGAAAACATCAACCGCAGTGGACCACCACAACCACAGTGTAAAATACCTGATGGAATAAGCATTGGCAGGTCAGCTCTGGTAGATCTACGCATCCTACTTTCCCCTTCCATTGAGTGAAAGACGCACCACAGAAAACACAAACTGTGACTACTCATATCATAAGGTATGGATTGCTGTTCAACCCACCAATGTCTCAAGTGTCTGCCACTGCAAGCTCATGGGGGAGCTGGGGGACATTAAAATCAGATGATGGATTACAGGAAAAGCCAAAAGCTATAGCCAGAGGAACTCAAGTTCTTGTTGACTGATATCCCGAGCTTGTGCATTCTCAGCAATCAGCATCCACTTCCCGTGCTAGAGAGTCCAGCATTTATAAGCTTATAAAAATGTATAAAACTTAAAACTGTTTAAGCCTTTATTTTCATAATTACTGAATATAAAAATTAAACTTAAAAAATAAAGTTTTGTCTTCTCTCAGAAACTAGATAGGTTTTATTTATTAAATAAAAAATAAACAACTAACAGTTTGCCCATGACTGATTATAGAATCTTATTACAATCTCTGAATTCTAATAATATTTGAATCTTTCATATCCTGTACTGTGAATGCCAAACAAAGCTCAGAATGTATTTTTCATGATAGTCCTTCCTGTCTGTACAGTAAATAAAGCTGTCCAAGGTTTCGTATATGTAAATAATAATTATTCTATATTACTCTGTTTGATCCAGAAATTGAACTTTACATAAATCCCTGTCTCTATTAGGCAGACTTGTTGAGAGCAAGCTGTACACATACAAACAGGGCCTTACATTCTTAAAAAGCTTGATCTCCTTTACAGTGTGCAGATACTGGTCGTGATCAAAATGCTTTAATTGCTGATGTTTTTCGCAGTTTCCACACAGAACCGTGGGATGTATATATATATGCCACCTGTCTAATTGATCGACTAAAAACATTTTACTGCTGACTAGCCACACCTACCGCCAGCATGTTAACGTAATGAGCAGTGTTGATTGGCCGGTTCACACGCATGCGTAACCGGAAGTTGTTTCCTGAGAAGCGCGTTGCATTTACCATGTGCATTTAATCAGGTTAACGAATAGATTTTAAACTTTTTAAACTTTTTTGGAGTTTTATATAAAATAATATTTTACCTCTAGCGCGTTATTATTTACCTGTAAAACTGCAATTTCTCACTGTGAACAATGTATCGTATCTTGCGTTCGAAATGGTTTGCATCCGGCGTGTCCTTGACAGCTGGAGCGGGCATGGGGGCTTTCATAATGGCAGCGTACACAGATAGCTTGAACAAAAAACAAAACTCGATTCATGATCTTCTCGGTCGAGTTCCCGTTATTCCTATCCCTAGTGTTGAGGCGGCCACTGATTTGATTCCGTTTCAGTCAGGGCATGTTGGAACTTCTAGGGCCACAGCAGTGATGAAATACGGCTTCCCTTCCCTTTCCAACGTCAAATCGAGGGAGTCCTACGTTATGTCTTATGATCCCAGGAACAAGACTGCCCTTTGGGTTATCGAACAGCTTAACAATAACAGCATACACGGTACGTCTGACAGAAAATATTGCGAATTCAAAGAGGATGATTCAGTGCACGTTTACCACAGGGCAACAAACCCAGATTATAAAGGAAGCGGTTTCGACAGGGGCCACCTTGCTGCAGCTGCAAACCATAAATGGAGCCAAAAAGCAATGGATGAGACATTTTACCTAAGTAATGTTTCACCACAGGTAAGATAAAGTAATCAATCATTGCGTTTTTCACCTTTCCATTGAAGGGAATCGTGTGTATTAATGGTATGAGATGAGTGGACGATTGAAAATGATTACATTTAGATGTCAACTACGATGATATTCAAAGTAACCTTACTGACATAAGATTGTGACACGCAGATCCCATTGTGGCTAATTTTCGTACATTTAGTAAAACTCCTTAACAAGTCACCTTGAAAAGGGTAATTAATGTTTTGTTTAATCAAATAAAAGACTCGTCCTATAATGTGCAAAGTGTCCACAACCATAGTTATCTAAAAATGATACGCACAAAACTGAAAATTAAAAACCTCACGTTGCTTAAACAATTGCACATATGGATATGTGTGAAATTGATGTCTAAATTTCTAAATTGTCAATCCCCCCAGAATCCACACTTGAACCAAAATGCATGGAACAACCTAGAAAAGTACTGTCGCTCACTTACTAAACTCTACCTGAATGTGTTTGTGTGCACTGGACCTCTATACTTGCCCAGGTAAGTGTGAAAAAAACAACTGGCACAAATGAAAAAATAGTAATAAGAATGAATTTGTATTTTTCAATCTCATTGTAAGTTAACTGAGTGTGTGGAATCGCTTTACATAGCTAAACTTTGTTTCTTCTGCGGAAAATTTGTTGTACAGTAGCAATAGAAAGAGAACCCCTAGCACAATAGCTCAGCTCCATAATGAAATTAACAAATAAGTTTATAGTACAAGTGAGGAAGAAACTTGGAAGGTGTTCCACATCATAAAACCAAAGTTTGATATTTACAATGTTCTTATTTAGGTACTGGAATCTAATGACCTTTTAGTGTCAGGCAGTACAAAGAGTAAAAGATTCGAAGCTTTGCAACTGCGCTCATTTTACGGTGAACTTATGAACTACACTGAAGCACTTGTTAGAGTCCATGCTCAGCTGCAAACAATTATACACTTTAAAGAGAGACCCTGCTAAGCAGAGATAGGGAAAGTGTGACTGCAAGTGGATCTAGATTTTTTTGTAAAGTATTTCCTGTTTTAGAGGTCCGTTTTTGTCACAGTGGTTAATGAAGGAACCAAGACCATCATGCCAACGGATGTCATAATGCTGTTTAAATCCTTAATTTTAGACAGGAGCCTGATGGAAAGATGTATGTGAAGTATCAAGTTTTGGGGAAGAACCATGTTGCCGTACCAACCCACTTCTTCAAAGTGGTGATCCTGGAGAAGCAGAACGGTGAAGTGGAGCTGCGGTCCTATGTAATGCCCAACATGCCCGTGGATGAACATATACCTCTGGAACGTTTCCTGGTGCCAGTGGAGAGTATCGAGAGAGCTTCGGGACTCCTTTTTGTGCCTAATATCATGAAGAGAACAAATAGCTTGCGTACAATAACTGCAGGGGGCAAGTGAGGTTTATCAACCAGCTGTCACTGAAGAGCATTTGTTTCTGCAGTGTTGCAGTCTTTGTGTAGTAAAAAAAAAAAAAAAAAGGTGAGTAATCTAATAATATATGGATATACTGTGGTCTTTGACAGACCATTGACTTGACCCCACTCAATAAAAGACTTGTCCTCCAGGGTTGTGTGTATGCTGGTGTTTACTCTAGCCCTCTTTTTAAAAAATATGAAAGTGGCATATTTTTGCCACATACTATAAAATGTTTCACTGCAGCCTCGTGATGGGGGGAAAAAAGGCAAAGCTCAGACTACGGTGTACTCTCTCGCACGCTGATTTTAACACAATGGAAACTGGAAAGTTAACAGGACACCATTCAACTTAAAACTGCAGGGGTCTCGTTGAACCACCACTATTAAACAGTAGAGAGTTAAGTGCTAATCAGACCATTTAAATATGAGAAACAGGTCAAAAAAACAACCACATATAGCTCCAGGCCCTCACTTCTTTGGCTTTTAATTAGTTTGCCCTACAAGTCTAGTACTGTTTGTTGAAGTTCACTATGGCCATATTTCTACCACACCAGGTACCATACTAAGAAAATAGCAAAAGTATGGTACTTCAAGGTGTTGGTTTTCCACTGGCATAAGAACTTGTACTGGCGCCGAATGACATCTCAATGCAAGGCGGGGTATTCTGACTGAATTCAAAAATGGTTGTATATTATAGACTATAGACTGCTGGATGCATACTAACTAATACTACATATTAATACTAACATTGCATGTTACACACATGCAATTTTTACATTGCTAGTCAGCTAGGAGAGGTTAGCTAAGCTGAATCTGTTCAGCCTCACGCAAAGGAGATTAAGGGGGTACATGATCCAGGTATATAGGATTCTAACAGGTCTCGATACTGTTCGGCCAAATGGCTACTTTAATATTAGTTTAAATACTAGAACTTGTGGCCGTAAGTAGATATTAACGGGAGAACATTTTAAACTGAATTTGAGAAAACACTTCTTTACACAGCGTGTAGTTAGAGTATGGAATAGTCTTCCTGCTAGTGTAGTGCAAGCTAAAACCCGTTTCCTTTAAATCAGAGCTAGATAAGATTTTAACAACTCTGAGCTATTAGTTAAGTTCTCCCCAAATGAGCTTAATGGGCTGAATGGCCTCCTCATTTGTAAATTTCTTTTGTTCTTATATGTTCAGATATGGCTAATCAGGTACCATAACATATAAAAAGTTTACTATCTTCATAAAGCCTTGTATGTATACAGAGGGTTCATATAACCCTATATAAATTCATCTAAAATTTAAAGAATATTTTAGTGGTAGTTTAGTAGTTACTTTCGGAACACCCTTGACAATAGAAAATTCTGAACAAGATGGACTTTATTTCTATGTACACAAAAGGGACACACTGCAAGTATTTCAGATTCAGCCAAGTTTGGTGGCCAGTTCCTTTGCTTTTGCCTTTTCCAGCTTGGCAATGCGGGCAGTAGACTTGGGTCCCATGATCCCACCACCCCAGTGACGACGAATCTTTGTAAACAGGAAGGAGGTAAAACGAGATGTCAGCATTTCTGTTCACACCAAACAAGCGCATGGCAATAAAAATTTAGCAAAGGAGTATAGCATGTTTACTCTGATGTCACTGGTCAGAACATAATCAACATGCCTGAATTTAAAAAGCTGGAGTAGTATTACTGGTTGAAACCATACCGACAGTTGCTTTATTTCTGAATTTAGACACCAAAATAATGACTCACCTCATCATATCTGTCATTGTAGTTGGTCTTGATGGCTTCCACCAGCTTAGCTAGGGCCCCCTTGTCTTCACTGTTAAATGAAAATATAAAATTAGACATATCCAAAAAAAACAGTTGACAATTTCTCAACAAAAAAATCTTCACATTTAGGGCCATTATCAGCTTGTTAAATCAATTCAGACACCTACAGAAGTATAATCATGTTCTCCTTTTAACCAGGGATTGATATAACTGGCACTCAAGTATGCAATCACAGTATAAAGATTAAAACACCTGGTTATTTCTTGTCATATGACATACCACACTGCATAATTATTTCTTTGATTGGGGTAACATGCTGTATTTTTATACCAAGCAGGAGAAAAATATGAGCATATATTTTTTAAATAGAGACCTATGGTATTTCCTCTTGGTTGTAGACAATGCAAGAGCTTCTGGGCAGATGTTGCACAAAAACACAGAATCCACAGCTAAACCATTCAGTTAGTGCCTCTTGGGGAAGCTGATAGGTTTCTCTGTTTTCATTTTGACACTTTGGAATAAAATTCTACACTGAATATAGAGCCTGTAATTTTTTTGGAGGGTATTACATGACTATGCCGTTAATTGCAATTTAAAAATATTAAATCGTTTGACAGCTCTCCATTTTCCAGAGCAAAGAATTAGTAGACTTTGGCAAGGTTGACCAAAAATAAACTAGAAAAAATAACTACTTAATGCATTGCCAAAGCATCCCAATATAGATTTAAAAAAAACATGCGAGAATCAAATTTTTGGATAGTTGGATGACTGGCCTTTGGTTGCTCTCCTTTTGAAAATTATACTGTACATTGTGGCCTAATGAATATTTATCTGGGCTAGTAAATTTTTTCACTGAAATATCCCAGCTGGCTAGTAACATAACTTAAGTCCCACCCCTGATAATATAGTTCAATATGTGCATCAGGTGTCCCAGAGCCAGCCTCAACAGGAAAAATATGAAAGGTTATATCCAGTAATATTCACACATAAATGACCAAATGTCAAAGACTGAAATGTGGTTAATGTTAATTTGACCCATGCTGATCTAAAAATAACACCTGGCAGACAACAGCAGATTGAGAAAACTTGTTAAACCTTAAGGTTTACTGCAGACATCTGGCAAACATTATTCCACTGGTCCCAGATGGTAGTAAATCTTTTTTCTTCAAAAAAACCTGAAGAAAATTTCTCACTCCATTCCAGATGGATGCAAACCCACTAACTTAACCATCAGTCTTCACCTGCAATCCTTTCGGTACATGACCTGTTCAGTCACCTTCACTCTGTAACCAGGTATCAGGACGGGGAGGCCAGCTGTGACTTACGGGTTAATCTGTGTAAAGGCAACGGAGGTGCAGGTCTTTCTGTGGACCAGGCGCCCAAGCCGGGCCTTGCCTTTAACGATGCAGTAAGGGACACCCATCTTGCGGCAGAGTGCCGGCAGGAACACCACCAGCTGCAGAGGAGTAAGAATCCCAGTCAACCTTACACTGGAAACAGAGGAAAGTATGAGAATTACAGGATCTGCGTGCATGTCTCAGAGTGATCGAGAGAGTGGTGCCGGCTGCTCCGAACAGGTCATTATTTTCCTGCTGTGTGCACTCATCTGGGACGGCTCTCTGCAGTGAATGAAGGCCCATCGTACCAAAGTGAAATGGTAAAATGTTGAAATAAATATGGTACACACACAGCACCAGGTCCTACCTCAATAGGATCAACATCATGGGCAATGGCAACCAGCTGAGCCTTCTTACTCTCCACCAAAGTGGTGACCGTGTTCACACCTACAAAAGCATTCAAAAGAACAGCAAATTTTACAAAATGTTCCCAATGAACAGCCCCAGAGTCCACTCACAAGATAAAAATCTGCATTTGGGCTGGTAACTGATGCCAGTACAATTCTTTGCTCCTAGCTCTTACAGTACCACAAAATTAAAGCAATAGCACTGCAAATATGATTCAGTTTTGAATAGCAATTCTGTACATACATGCCTTACAAAGGCCAGCAAAGGAAAGGCTCCCGATGTGCATGCTTACCGCACCTGCTCTGAGGACTGGGGGCCTCTTGCTGGGTGTGTCTCCCTTTCCTGCAGCCTTCTGCTCTGCACGGGCCAGTAATCTCTTCTTCTTCTCTTGTTTGGTTTCCGGCCTGTATTTATGGGCCAGCTTGAAGAGCTGTGTGGCTGAAATGCAGTGGCGGAGACCCACCTTGTCTTAGAACCACAGCGCGTGTAAGTGCACATGTGCATGCACATGCACACACACACACACACACACACACACACACACACACACAGCCCATGGCTGCATATGGAAGCAGGCTGATATAAAGACAGGGTGCATCAGCGATCTTGGTGGAAATGTGTCAGCACTGGAGCTCAGTTAGCAAATATTCTCTCACATCATTTGCACGACCCGTTTCAACCATTCCTGCGAATTACATATCCCTGGCTGCATTGATGTTCTGAACTGAAGCACTGAATACAAAGAACCACCCACCCAGGTACTGTATTATGGTCAGTAAAAACTGACATTTCATTTTATATCATAGACTGAAACGCATTGCCGTTTATTAGCAATTTTCTTCAGGACCTAAATCACATCTGCAATTTCCTGACATCTCTACTACAGTAAAATCCCGTTATAGTGGACTTGCTTATAACAGAATATCGTCTATAACGGACAAGGTCCGGTGGTTCCGGCTATGCACCTTTCAAGAACATGCAGAAAAAGCATCGGATATAGCGGACTCGCATATAACGGAATTTCACTTATAACGGACAGACAATTTGGTCCCCAGGGCCGCTTTTAGCTGTAGTTTTGTTCGGCTATAACAGACATGCAGCTCTGCCTACAAGGCGCGTGGCGTGCCGGTGATATCCAGCACAGATACGTACGTAGTCGGGATTATTAATAGTCACGCATCTGGTCAGGTTACGTTGGATTACTACATGTACAATATAATAATCTATACCACAAGCATGTCTGCTGGGGTGTGGCATGAGTAAATGGTGTCCTGTAGTTGTGTTCTGAGCGTACAGCAACTCTGGATATAATGGACTGTTGCCAGGTCCCTTGAAGTCTGTTATAACTGGATTTTACTGTAGTTTGATGCCTCTGGTTGGAATGCCACTACCATCATCTTGCCTTTGAGAAAGCAAAATCTGTCAATCCAGGGCAGCAAGGTTTAGGATTTATTATCCCTCACCACAGCTTTACTTGTTCAATTCTCTGCAGCAGTACCCATGCCTCATAAAACGAGCAGACTGCACATTTCAATTGTATGATTATAGACTATATAAACTGAGTCAGGAACACATGCCAATTAACGACAGGACATTTCAAAACTGCTTAACGAGCGTATTTCTGAAAGCAGCCTTCCTTTAGAAGTGAAACAGTCATTTCATACCTGTCTGGCGATCCAGGGCCTGGGTGAACTGGTTGATCGATGGAGGAACTTTCAGGCGCTTGTAAAGGATGGCTCGCTGGCGCTGAAGGCGGATGTAACGGGGCCATTTCACAAAGCGGGTCAGGTCACGCTTGGGCTGAATGTCCTGCCCTGAGGAAAGGAGTCGCTGGATTTCAAAGAAATAGTTGAACCCGTGTGTAAAGCCTCTTAGTCTTTAACCACACATTTAACTCAAGACATCTAAAGACGCTATTATCGTAGTACAACTGTTTTACTGATGAAGAACGCGCCAACAGACATATGGGTAAATGCAGATTGGCTCATTAAAATCAGGTCAGTGTCTGTGAAGAAGCGAGGTGTCACTCACCGATGCCGAAGTTCTTAGGCCTCTTTTCAAACAGAGGATTGACCACTTTCTTGGCCTCCGTCTTCCTCGCCACGGACGGGGCAGGGGCCACCTTCTTCCCCTTGGCCTTCTTTCCTTTCGGCTGCTCGAAAAATCGCATTCAGTTATCTGACTACGGTCACTAAAAAAACGCCATAGCGCCATGTACGGCGACTTACTCTTAACAAAATCTACCCAACTCGTAGCACAAACCCAGAAAAATTAAACCCAGAGAATAGTCATGAATAACATTTACATTTATGAATGTTAGTTATATTTAACAAAAAGAAAATAAACAGAATGACAATACGGAAATTACCGTGTTTACATATCACTGTATTACGCTTGAATGGTTTCCAATGAATTGTAGCCTGCTACACTCTTCCTGGTATATCATTTAATATAATTCTGCTATAAAATCCAGTTAATTTTCCCTTCTAAATCAACAGACGGTTGTGTTACACATGACACACTCTTTCGCGTCAAAACTGTAACTGGAAATATAAGATGTTTAAAGATACAAAACGAACAATCCCCTCCACTGAATCCACTGACACTCACCATCTTGTCTAGGGTAAAGAGGAAGAACGAGGGCTTATGGGAAATGTTACTATCCCACATAATATCGCGAGATTACACAGCGCTTCACGACCCAGGTCCCACGATAGCAAATTGGGTAGTTTATAAAACTCCCCTCCCCCTTTTATTTTAAATTTAAAATATAAATATTTCAGGAACGAATTTCCCCCTGAACTCCTGTTTTTAAGATGACCGTGGCTTTTTTCAACAGTTGTTAACAAGTTTTCCTAAAGAATACTTTGTCTGTCGCAGGATACGCATACTTTTATCAGCCTGACTGCATGACTCCCTAACTGGGCGAGGATTCCTCACAACACGACAACATGCAAACTCCAGAAACGTAGCAGGGGCCGGATTCAACCCCCCTCAATAGAGGTGTAAGGCATAATGCCACATTTGGATACAAAATATGATGTGTAGTATGAGACTATGAGCTGTACTGGAAGCTCTGCAAGCATTGGCCCCAATCAGCCACTGGATGGTGCTGTAATATACAGTTAAAATCGATTTTCAAATAATAGTTTTTAAATGGCCATGGCTTTCACATAGTTTTGAAGATCTAAGTGGTGCTTAGTGGTATTTAAAATTTCTCTATGGTTGATGTCACAAATATTATTATAGTATACACTCACCTAAAGGATTATTAGGAACACCTGTTCAATTTCTCATTAATGCAATTATCTAATCAACCAATCACATGGCAGTTGCGTCAATGC